TCGGTTGCAGTTTGTCCCCGGCCCTGGTTGGGGTTGTGTGGGTGGCAGCCATTCGATGTGTGTCCCTTTCACATCAATGTTTCTCTCTCTCTCCCCTCCCCACTCTATCTGAACAAAAATGAAAAAATGTCCTCAGGTGAGGATAACAAAAAAAAAAAAAGGTGCTAAAACAGATTAGATGCCATACTTGGGCACAGTAGAAAAGAAAAAAAACTGCCCAAGGAGTAGCCACCTTTATTACAGATCTCTATGTATGTGGCTACTCAGCTAGATCATGTGTCCTGAAAGACATAGATCTGTCCTCATAGCCTCTATCACAATTTATGTTCAGTTGATCCTTAAACACTTGATTCCCTGATTTTAAAAGTTTACAATCTAGCATGGCAAATATAACATTTGTGATAGAATGTGATAATGGACAAGAAAGGATATAAAGTGCAAATGAAATGACCCTTGAAGAGCATGTAGGAAGCTATGGAGAACAAGACAGGCAAGGCAGGATTTCCACAGGAAATGAAATCAGTACCTTGGAGAGTTATCTGCATTGCTGATCATTATAGCATTATTCTCAACAGCCAAGATATGAAAACAACCTAAATGGCTGTCATTTGATGAATAGACAAATAAAATGTGATACACACACATAAATGGATTTAAAAAAACAAATTTATGTAAGTCCAGTAGAGTTATCTCTTAACAAGGTGTTAAATTCTAAAACATCAAAAGTGAAAAATCTAATATAGTTAAAATTACCTTTGAAAATTCCTTGTACATGAAGGGGGGAGCTAGAAAAGGGTAAAGGAGGTCAAATATATGGTGAAAGAAGGAGACTTGATTTTGGGTGGTGAACACACAAAACAATAGATGATATATTATAGAATTGTACATTTGAAACCCATATAATTGTATTAACCATTGTCACCCAATAGTTGTAAAAAAACTAAATGTATATATTTTTAAATATAAAACCAGGTACTCTGTGAATTATTCACTCTAGACTTCAAGAAACACCAAATAGAGCAATGAAAGCTACAAGAAGTACAAGTATCTGAGCATTCAAACTTTTCTACCTTTAAGTACCTATAAAAACACTAGAGGAAGATGCAAGGTGTATAAAAACTTCTTTCCTGTAGATTTTCTTTCATTTTTAGAAGTAAATCTAACTACATTTAATATTTATTAATGGGTTTGTTTATTTCGAAACTGTAAATAAAAGAACCCAATGAAAGTCTTGAAACATACTTGGAGCTTAACAAATGTATGCTGGGTTTCAATTCAAATTTTGCTTATTAATTGGACCTGCATACAAACTGTTCTTTGAAAAGTGGTTCAGAAGACCTTGGTTGGCTTTCTCTCCTTCCACGATGGCATCTTCCATGTGGCCCAGTGAACAGCTGTTATTCTCTTGCTGTTTAAACTAGTTTCAAGATACCTTACCTTAGTTCAGGAAATGTATGGGAAGAGAGATAACATTTTTTGCTCACCAAACTTGAAAATTAGTAACTATATTGGTTAGGCTATGGGAAATAGGCACTCTTATAATTTCAAAAGGACTATGAACTATTTAAACCTTTTGAGAAAAAATTATGTTCTAAAAGAAATAAAAGTACAAGTCTTTGTAGTGGCCAATACTGAAACCAACTCATATATTCATCAGTAGGGACATAAAGTAATTATAGTATCCCCACACTGTGGAAAATGATGTCCATAAAAGAAAACTGGGTATTACATATAAAGGAGCTCCCATAAGACTGTCAGCTGACTTCTCAAAAGAAACTTTGCAGGCCAGAAGGGCATGGCAAGAAATACTTAAAGTGGTGAAAAGCCCAATGATGCATCAGATAAGGGATTAATTTCCAAAATATATAGAGTACTCATACAACTCAAGAAAAGGAAGACAAAGAACCCAATTAAAGAATGGGCAGAGGACCTAAAGAGACACCTCTCCAAACAGGACATACAAATGGCCAAGAGACATATGAAAAAATGTTCAAGATCACTAATCATCAGAGAGTTGCAAATTAAAACAACTATGAGGTATTACCTCACACCTGTCAGAATGGCCGCCATCAACAAATTATCAAACAACAAGTGTTGGCGAGAGTGTGGAGAAAAGGGAACTCTAGTATACTGCTGGTGGGAATGTAGACTGGTACAGCCACTATGGAAAACACTATGGTGTTACCTCAAAAAATTAAAAATTGAATTGCCATTTGACCCAGTGATCCTACTTCGAGTAATATACCCTAAGTAGACTGAAACACTAACCAGAAATAATATATGTACCCCCATGTTCATAGCAGCACTATTTACAATAGCTAAGATCTGAAAACAGCCCAAATGTCCATCAGTAGACGAATGGATAAAAAAGCAGTGGTACATGTACACAATGGAATACTATGCAGCTGTAAGAAAGAAAGATCTCTTATCATTTGAGATGACATGGAGGGACCTGGAGAGTATTATGCTAAGCAAAACAAGCCAAGCAGAGAAAGACAAATATCACATGATCTCACTTATTGTGGAATATAATGAACTAAACAAACTGATGAACAAAATTAACCCAGTGACATAGAGGTAGGGTACAGACTGACAAACCCTAGAAGAGGGTGTTGGGGGGTGGGGGAGATAAACCACAGAACTTATATGCATGTATGCATAACCAATGAACATAGACAACAAAGCTATGGAAGGGGTGGAGGGGATGAGGAGGTGGGTGTCAATGGGGGAAAAAGGAGAAACATTTGTAACCAAAACAAATTAACAAAAATAATTAAAAATAAAATAAAATTTAAAAAAGTGATTAAAAGCAAGAACCTACAACCAAGATTACACCAACCTACAAAGCTCTCATTTAGAATAGATGTACATGTAGAGTTTCCCAGAAAAGAAAAAGCTAAAAAAGTTCATCACCACCAAACCAGTATTATATGAAATGTTGAAGGATTTTCTTGAAGAAAAAGATGATAAAAAATATAAACAATAAAATGGCAATAAATGCATATCTATCAACATTTGAATCTACAAACCAAATGAACAAGCAGTACAGAAACAGACTCATAGATACAGAGAACTTTTTGTTGATCGCCAGATAGGAGGGGGATTGTAGGAATGGGTGAAAAGGGTGAAGGGATTAAGACGTACAAATTGGTTTTTAGACAGATAAACCTTAAAGAGAAGGGGGTAAGGCAAAACAGGAAGAGATAAAGCAAAGAATGTATATGCATATATGCATAACCAATGGACACAGACAATAGTGTGGGGGAGGCAGGAAAAGGAGGGGAGCAGGGAGGAGGGGTCAACATGGGAAAAAAGAAGGACATCTGTAATACATTTAACAATAAAGATAAATTTAAAAAATAATAAATAAAAGAAAACTAAATAAATCTATGTGTTGATTAGAATAGTGCCCATGTTATTTTTAAATAAATGAATTAGTTAAATAAGTTATTAAATAATGGACAAATTATAATACTGTCTTTGTTAACAACAAACAAAAACTGAAAACTCAACCACAAAATAAACCTATATGTATGTGTATTTGTTTATATAAGAATACAAGCAAAAATGTGGAAGGATATATCCTAAATTGTTACTTGGTAACCCCAAGGAGGTGGGGCAATGAGATGTTTGAGGGAAGAGCAACACAATCATTTTACCTTCTGCTCCTCTGTTGTTTGAAGGCCTGATCCAAACTAGGGGTAACAGGAAATAAAGGCAAAGACAATGGGGGGAGGCATGTAATATGGAAATGGAGTGGATAGAATTTGGCAACTATCTGAATGTGGTGGAGAGTGGGGAGGGAAATGAAGAAATCAAGGCTAGCTCATCAATTTCTAGCCTGAGCAACTGGGGGAAGATGCTATCATTCATAGAAACAGGCATAATATGAGAAGTGAATTATTTTTTATTGTTACCAGAAGAGAAATGATGAGTTTGGGTTATCAGTCAAAGTTGTGCTGTTTCTTATTTTAAATGACAGTTACTCGTACAGCAAAGCTTCTTATTTTGGTCTTAAAACCTCAAATAAATGATGCTTTATTGTTGTATTTTATGTAAACTTAGGAACTAAAAGAGCCAGACTGGTGTCTAATACTTTACCATATCTGTGCATACTATTCCAAAACAACAACAAAAAAAATTATTTTTAATTGGAAAAAATTATAATAATTTAAAATAATCTCAAACATGAAAAAAGTAAGTTTTCCTGCTGTATCAAAGTGGCAGAAAATAAAAACTATGATCTGTACAAGTTTTAATGTATGTGTCTTTTGTGTCATTTTAATATAGTTATGCCTCTTCAACTGCATTTGTAACTCAATGGCTATTAAGTAAACAGTATATTGTTGCTAAAGATATTCTATAGCTGTATTCTTGCAAAGATTTTAGTTCTAGAAATATCTTGTGCACTTTTATTCCATAGAACACAGCATTAGATATTGTCTTTATATTTATATTATTTACTTGCAAATACTGTCAAAAGTGTGTATTTATTTCTTCTGTATAATTATATCATATTTTATGTTGGAGCTGAAATAGAAGTATGTAATTCACCAATCTGAGCCTTTTTACACAGATAAAGGAGTCAACAAAGTAGCCTGAATAAATCATTTTAATTTTCAGCTCAGTTATGTGGAAATCAACTTCTCTTGCATATTTTTATTCTCTATTCACCATTGTTTGTATTTTTACTTCAGAAACGATTCCTATGTTAGTCCTTCTTAGTTGACTTATGTGGGGCTTTCCATGGGAAGTGTTTTTCATATTACATTTGTTATTTTTAATTTGAGTTAAAACAGGGATTTCAAAAACTGCCTAAAGATGTTAATGAATTTCAAAACCTTCAGAGAACTGGGTGATTATGATATTGTGTGAATTCACAACTTGGTTCATTTTATTGACTAATTCGTATAGTTTGAGTTTAAATATATATGGTTCCTCATTGGAGAAAATAGAAGAAAGGTAATACATTTAATATTTTGTGTATTTCTGTTTTCCAGAAAATAAATACTTCTGGAACCAGTAATGCAGATGTCCCTCTGGCTGATCCCGGAATGTACCAATTGGACATTACATTAAGAAGGGGTCAAAGTTTAGCTGCCCGAGATCGAGGAGGTAAGGTCATAAGAACAATATCACTTGGAAGCTTATTCTATGTTTTTGACAAAATTGTGGGTTTTTTAAAATATGGTTGCTTAAGTTTTAAAAAATTAATTATGATATTAAAATTTTCAGAAGGTTGGGTTCAGTGATGTGATCTGAAATGTTATCTGACTCCTGTGACCATGGAAGAAAAAGTTATGACACAAGTTCAAAACTGAACTGGTCCCAACCCAGACAGCAAGGTCCCTACAAAACGGCTGACCAAGTAGGCACTGCATTATATGTGAGCAGTGACACAATCAGTTACGTAGGTGAGACACATATTTGAAGCCTATCAGAAGTCACCTTTTGGACATTCTTATTGCTGCATTGATTTGCTCAGTTGAGTCGACTAACATCACAGAAACCAGGACCAGCACCGCACCAAAACTTTGGTGATTCTCAGCAAGTGATTGTCTGAGGCTTAGTTGGACCTGACAGTAGTCTTATGGTGGATTAAACAGGTCTTTTTCGGCCATAATGAAGGCAAAGACAAGACAAATATGCCTTAGTTTCTGGATTACAAATCCCAAAACAATCTCCTGATGAACTAGCCTGGGCTACTTGAAGGATTCCTTAAACCCAGGTTAGAGGCAGGACCAGAGATAGACAGACTGTACAGCATCCTTTGCACATTTCAAAATATCAGCTATTCAGAATTTGGAGAACTGATGACCCACAATCCCAGAGAAAGCTCAATGTGGTGTAGCTCCTCCCACTAAGAAAGAGGAAAGTCCCTAGGCCTCTCTGTCAGAGAAGCTAGACAGTGCCCTGGCATTGCGTAATCTTGTTTTTGTTCTCCAACTTTATTGCTATCCATTCTGAGGGAGTAAAGGGAGCGATTTAAGACTATAGTTTGTAATTTTTATCTCCTGTCTCTACAAGAACAAAACAAAGAAAATAATAAAATAGTGTTTTCTACACTGGAAACTATACAAATAATAAAATTAATTTTTAAACAAAATCTACTAAATGTCAGAACATTCTTAAGAAATGAAGGTGTGATTAGAAATGTTAGAATTTAAACACATGGAGGAAATTTTGAAAATTAACCATCTAATTTAGTAACTGAGGACAAATATTTATTGAACGTTGTCTCAAAAGATGTAAAAATTAGATCAGTGAAAGAAAATAATGCTATTTAACATGGTTTTATTTTGCTATATTAATATAACTTTTTTTAGTTTTTAGAGTACTCTTCATTTCATTACATAACATCATTTCATCTAAAGCAGAATTGAACCAGCCATCAGTAGATCAATGTTTCTATCCTAGATGTGTCCTCCCAACAATAGTAAATACATATGCACACAATTATTTATTACAGCATTGTTTATAATTATAAAATAGCCATCAGTAGGAGAGGTGACTAAACCATGGTATACCCACATGATGAAATACTATGCAGCTGTAAAACAAAAAATAATGAAAAGCTCTAGGAATTGATATGGAGTTACAAGATATAGTACTAAGTGGGAAGGTAAAGTGCAACAAAGTATTGACAATATGGAATGTTTCATGTAATAAAGAAGGGAGTATAAGACATTATCTGCTCATTTGTTCAGAGTGTACTTCTTGAAAGTACACTCCAGAAGCTAACAAGATTGGTGACATACAGGTATAAAGAATGGAGGATGGGAATGGGGTAAAATGAGGAAGTGATATTTCTCTGAGTAAATCTTGTATAGTTCTAACTCTATAACCATGGCACTATTTCAGGAATGAATGAATGAATGAATGAATGAATGAATGAATGGTGAAATCAACCAGGATGTGGGAGGAACCCAAGTGGAATATAACCAGTCTCAGGGGAGTGGAGAATAAATAGCTAATCTAAGTGATTATGTAAAACAGTATTTGGATTATACACTGTAAACCTCAAGTCAGAAAGAACTAACTATACATAAATAATGTGCTCTAGAGCATGATTGTCAATTCTGAAACTACTTATTGTGTGTGCTAAGAATGAGCAAATAAGTAAATATATTGTAGATGAGTGCCACGTTTCTCATGTTGGAGAAAGAAGTTACAATGTACAACAGAGGAGAGCTGGGATGAACTTTGTGGTGTTTAAACAGTATCAGTGTGAACTAATGGTTTTTAATTGATAGATAACAATTGAAACAGAGGTTTGTGGGTGTTTTCCTAGATCTGTCTGCTGAGAGGCCCTAGAAGCAATTATAAAGGTGTAGTTAATATATCCTGGTCCCAGATCTTGGTTTATTTCCCCAATAAAAGTAAGCAGGGCTCCTGGAGAAATGGTTGATTGCAGATCTGGGGCAGCAAAAGTACAAGATGAGCCTGGAACACTTGGCAGTGCCAGAGAGTAAGGAAGTACACAAAAATTGATGGCAGAATGTCAAAATGACATAGGAGCCAACTTAAAGGAGATCCTAATGACTGGAGCTGGAACAATTTCAGCAGCAAAATAAATAATGGCAGTAAAAGATTGTAAAACGTAGACTAATATAAATATCTATGATGTCTTAATAGTAAATAAATAATTGAATAAATAAATAAGTGGGAGAGAAAGCACAGCTTTTCTTTAGGGTAGAATTACAATGAATAAATGTAGAAGGGAAAATAGAAATAGGAAACTACCTTTTAACAAACAACACAGTAACATTTGTAGACAAAAATCACCAATTTATTCTAAATTTGTAGGTGCAAAATTATGATGAGAGACGGGTATTTGCATCATTTCAAAGTGCTTCTCCACAACATACATATGAAGTACAAAGAGTAAAATAGTAAGTCACAGTGGAGAAACTTGGAAGATATCACCTTTAGCAAGGAATCAAAGTTAACATCAGCAGTAATAAGACAAACAAACACCATGGACCTGCTGATGTGATGTGCTGAGATAGGCACATTAAGTCTGTGGGATCCTGTCATAACACGTAAAGTTAGTGTGATCATGAGAAAATATCAGGCAAATTCTGGCAAGATATGATGCCAGTTGTCTAAGCTGAGTAGCAGCTACCCTTTGAATAGGGCGTACATAATCTTGTTCCACAATGTGAAGTCTGGATGATACTGTGCATCCAGTACCTTTCTTAAAGGAGCAAATTATTCTCTAGAGATGTCTTTGCCAAAAATAGGAATTGTGTTAAGGTACAATGAGAGTGCTATGTTCTTAAGAAAAATATTATTTTGTAGAAGTAAAGAATATCCCAAAGTGTTTAAAATGCAAATTCCACTCCAACTTCACTATTTTACTTACTTGTCTGGAATTCATGAAGGTTTCACTGGGTAGATATGAGAATAGAAACTTAAACAGAGAAAACAATCTAGTTCAGTCTGAGATTGACTGAAACTTATCTTAGACTAACAAATGTGTTAAGCATATGATTGTATAGTTAGTATTGGAGCATATTAGATTTGCGAATTTATAGGTATATATAATTATATGCATATAGGATAATTAGATGGAGATGGATAGTTTGAAGTGATAAAACCAGTCAGGGAGCACTGCAATTATGAATGAGTATAGTTTTGAGGGCCTGAACCAGAATTATGGATGTAGAAATAGAGAAGGAAAAGAAACTATGAGAGATGATTCAGGAGAATGTCCAGCATTACTGCATCTGAGACCAAGTGGATGAGGGGGTTAAAAAAAAACAAAAAACTTTTGAGCCCTGGCCAAATTATTCAATGGTTAGAATGTCATCCTGTACACCAAAAAGTTTGCAGGTTCTATTCCTGATCAGGGCACATACCTAGGTTGTAGGTTTCATAACTATGTATAGGAGGCAACTGATCAATGTTTCTCTCTCACATCAATGTCTCTCTCTCTCTCTCTCTCTCCCCCCTTCCTCTCTCTCTAAAATCAATAATAATAATAATAATAATAATAATAATAAACATATCCTCTGGTGAGGATTAAAAAAACACTATTGAGATTTTAAGGCTGATGGTACCTGGGAGCCATGTGGATTTTGAAAAAAGGTAAATGTAAGAAAAAATAGTTTTATTACTATTATAATGAGCAGAAAATATACTCTTTTATCATTTATTATATTGATGCCCTCACCTACTGCTCAGCAAAACCAAAATCCTATGATCCCTATGTCACATATCACCCTTGAACAGAATAGGGGAAGAGAAAAACTCACTTCCACCCTCACCACCATTGGTAGAATATTGCTTGAACTTTGCATCTCCAGAATCTTTCTCCATATTAATGGGCACTGAGTTCGGCTCAGCAGTCAAAATTGGCCATTGTTCTTCCATTTTAACAACTTGTTTTGCAGAACAGTAGCCTGATGGCTTCTTGGAATGATAGTGCCTTTTCCTGAGTTTTATTATCTTGGCTTGTAGAAGCCTGTTGGAATAGAAAGCACAATGATCTTGGGGAGTCTGATACACATAATTGCAAAGCTAAGCTCAACATTATAGTAGCCGTATGACTTTGAGATCTTCAATTTCTCTTCTGAAATTGTAGGTTTCCAGGTGTAGCAAATAAAAATACAGGATGCCTAATTAAATTTTTCATGTCTAGTTATTGTTAGAAAAATGCCATTTATATTTTAATTGGGTCAGACTTTTCAGGACTATATTATCATCTATCACATGTTGACTGTAATGTCTTGCATGATTATTTGTATTGGTAGAAAAATCATAGCAATCGGTGTAGATGTGTCTGCTGATAGCAATTCCCTACAATTGGATTTCTTGAAATTTGAATAATGAAGGATGTTTTCATTTCCTAGGGCTGCCTTAACAAATTACTATAAACACAGTGGCTTAAAACAACAGAAATTTATTATTTCACCATTCTGGAGTCCAGGAGTGAAAAAATCATGGCATGGTAGGGAAACACTCACTTTAAAGGCTCTTGAGAAGAATTCTCCTGCCTTTTGGCTTCTGGAGGCCCCAGATGCCCCTAGCTTGTGGCCGCATCACTCCGATCTCTGCTTCCATCATCACATGGCCTGCCCTCTGTGTCTCCATGTCTCAAATCTTTCTCTCCT